CAGAGATTTCTGGAATTTGGAAATTATTTCCAGTTGAATTAATATAAAAATGATTATATCAGATTCCCAATCCAGTCAAATTTCCAGAAGACTGCAGGCTGAGCCAACACCTCATGGAACAGAAGAACTACTATGTGATTCCAGTCAACCCACATAATCACTCAGTTTTGAGATAGCTTGAATAAAGCTAAATTTTCTACCCATTTTTAAGTTAAGGAATTTTAAGTTTTGCTCACTTTTTTCAGTACCGATGTTGGTGCTTTCAGGTTTTTCACTTGGAAGATCATGAAATTTCACAGGAACATACAGAGGTTCACTCTGGAATGTAACAGAAACAAATATAAACAGGAAGTATAAAAGCTAATATACTGGCTAAAATTTAAATGGATAGTATGTAGACACAGATACTCTCAAAAACACAATTGTTGAACGTCATGTTTAAATAACATTAAGTTTCCCAAAATGCATTTTCAAGACTTAAAAAGGAAACTCTACTCATCTACACAGGCATAATAACAAAAAATAATCAGTTTAAAGTTTAGAAATATAATAGCATTGGCACATTATGATATCTAATATTTAAATATAATAAAAACAGATCTCTCTCTTAGCTAACAGATTCTCTCTCAGCTAATAGATTATCTCCCATTCCTTTTCATTCATTCTTTTCACAAATACATAATAAGCTCCTACTATGTCAAGCATTGTTCTGGGTCCTAGGGATATAAGGGTGAATAAAGTCAAAGTCTCTTCCTCAATGATCATGTAGTCTAAAGGGGAAGGTAGATGATGAACAGATGGTATATAGCATGTATTTATATTTACTGAATTGTTAACTCTTATAGAAGATTCAACAAAAAACTAAAATTTCTTGAAAATGCACGATTAATAGATAATAAAAACAAAAAAAAATGGCTGCCATTTATTAGTTCTTACTATGTACTAGGTACCAAGTCCAGAGCAGTTAAACATACATTTCTCATTAGTCCTCACAGTTACTTTATGAAATAGCTATTTTAAGGAATTTTGTAGAAGCTGAGACATAAAATAACCAAGTGGTAGACAAAAGAATCAAAGCCAGGTCTGTCTAACCATGCTCCAAAAGTCCATATTTTTAGGTAGTTCTAAATTCCTCAACTGTTTTTGCAAATGTTTTCAGATGATCTATATTTAAGGCACAAATCTCCAACTAGGTTGTTTCTTCAAAATTAAGAGGGGAAAAAATTGTTTTATTTCTTTGATTACTCTTTTAATTCCTAGTATAGAACTCTTCCAATATAAAATATTCAGTAAATGAACAGACAATAGGTCCACAAATAGACACAGTCTCATTGTTATATTGAATTTTTCATTACAGCATCTGGCTGATAGCAATTTGACATACCCATCTTACAGATAATAGCAAGAATTAGTAGAAGAGTAGTCAGAAGAGTAAGCTGCCATCTCAACTATGCCTTCCACACTGACAGAGACAAGTAATACTAAACTATCTTGTCAACGCTTAAGATCCCAGAGAAAAGAAACTCTTTGTAGTACCTAGTAGCCTACCCTGCATGCAATCGTAGTTCTAAAAAACAAACAAAAAACTATACTGTCAATAAGGTCATCAAGAGAATGCTTCACAAATTGATATTAAATTTTACAGTAACTTTAAAATTTTTCTAAGATAATGTGTCATGTTTGGAAGGAAAAGAATTATCATTAAAAGTACATTTTAAAGAGATGGCTTAGTGATGTCTAAAAGGGACAGATTTCAAGATACTATCTCTCCAACTAGATTATAAATACTTAAAATAAGTGAATGTGTTAATTATTCGTTTGCTATATCTGCCCCCTCTGAAACACACACACACACACACACACACGAGTACACTAGAACATAACTGTATTTCTAGAGCCTAGAACAAGTACTTAACACGTATTAGGCACCCTAAAAAATTTGTGGGGAAAAAAAAGAACAATTTGCTTATATATTCTCAGTGCCAAACAAAAACATTTGTTTCTTAATGATAACAATAATGTGCATGAAGCAAAAGAGTTGGTAAGAAACAAAGGATTGTCCTTTACTATTTTCACTCCTTAACCAGTTTCTCCCTCCCTCTTTCCTCAGAGGTATCTAAATTGCTTACCATTAGGCCCCAGGTAGCCAAAAGAAGAAAGAAAGTACCAAATTACAATTCTCATGGCCAGATCCCGATATTGAGCTATATGTATATCATCATATAGCTGTGGTACCATCAAAGATGTTTCATTTCTTCCTGCCATGGCTCAACTCCACCTGCTCCATTCCTGACAAGAAAAGAAGCACTTACCAAAGAACTATTCATAGCTGTATCTGTTGTGCAAGCAGCAAAGTAACCTTCAGCATCTGCAAACTAAATATAGATAACGGAACATAAAATTCAATTAAACTCATATTATAAGACTAGTCACATGTAACTCAAAGGAATAAAACCAAAACTCCAGAATCAATCTATAAAAATATAACTATTATTAATAATAATAGCAGCAGCTAATGCCGAGTATTCAACAACGCAAGGTAGGCATTATCATCTTTATTTTATTGATGAAGAAATTGAGGCTGAGAGATTTTTAATCCTAAGAGCTGGGATTAAAACCCAAGTTAGTCTAATGTCCAAGTATATGCCCTTTTTACAACACTATTGTAACATTTCGGATGTAGGGAAAGGATGGGTGGGTGGGTTACTTTAAAAGGCAAGTAACATCTCAGTATTATCCTGAAAATAGTTTTGATCTCAAGAACCTTCTGAATGGATCTCGGTGCCTGAACCACACTTTGAGAACTACTGTGCTAATGCTACGTAAGTGTGATTTCATTTCATACCCACAGCTAGCCTATCACATTACCTCTGCTGAAAGTCTGAAGAGTTTAAATAACTTGTCCAAGGTCACAAAATTGGCAAGAGATAGAACAAGATTCAAACAGTAGAGCCCATGTTATGAAAAAAACCTTTATAAATCAATATCAAAAAGAGGGAGTCAATGTAGAAAAATAGACAAGATATAGACAATACACAAAAGAATTCTACTATCCAATGAATATGTGAAAAAGTAATCTAAGATATGCAAATTAAACACCTATCAAATTGCCAAATGTTGGGATTTTTGGTAAGGGTTCAATCATAAGATTTATTGTTTAATAAGTGTTTAATCATATTGCTAACAGAGATATGAATTAGTACAACCATTGCAGATGGTAATTTAGCAGTAAGAATCAAAAGCTTTAAAAACAACATTACTCTTTCATCCAACATGCTTTTGAGAATTTAAGTAAATAACTACAGATGAGTATAAAGATATTCCTATTTACTTATATAAAAAGTAAAAGTAGAAACAATCTGTCGAGGGTTAGTTAAATAAAATGGGACAAGATGATGATAAATTTTATTTATTCACATGGAAAGATTCATAATATATTAAGTGAAAAATAAAATCATGTTAAAAATTATAGAAATTTATAGAAAAACTTTCTAAATTATATATAAAGTTTTTCATTATATACCATTAAGTGGAAAAAGCAAGCTATAAAATAGGATATAACAGTACAATACCATTTTTGTAAAAAAAGAATAAAAAATACACATGAAAAGAATGGCAGATTATATGCCAAAATATTGTCAGCAGTTATTCCTTGAATAGTAGAATCTATTTTCTTCCTTTTGTTCCTCTGTATTTTCTAAATTTTCACAATGTATATGTATTAATACATATATAGTTTATTCCTACATGTAACAATGCAATGTATATATAATTTTTATAATGTATACATATTACTGTTGCAAATAAAAATATTCATATTTTGGGTAAATTAAATGTGTGTGCGCACATGAATGTACATTCTAGGCTGCACCTAAAAAACAATTCTTGAAGAAGCCCTGACAAAAATCTAATGAGTACATTTCTCAAGAATATACTCATTAGATAAGAAATAGTACCATTTTAACCCACAAAAAATAGTACATACAAAAGAAAAAAATTAATAGAGACAGAAAACAATATAGTGGTACCGAAGGGCTGGAGGGAAGGGGAAATAGGGATTATTTTAAATGGGTACAGACTTTCTGTATAGGATGATGAAAAAGTTCTGAACATGAATACTGGTGATGGCTGCACAGCAAAGTGAATGTACCTAATGCCACTGAACCATACATTTAAAAATGATTAAAGTGTTAATTTTCATATTATATATGTTCTATTACAGTAAAAAAAAAGAAAGAATTTTTAAAAGGATTAATAAGGGACAGTTTTATATTCTTCATTCTCAAAAATTCAAAATTTCTACTTCTACAAGGAAGTTATGTCACTACATAAAGTAACATTTCTTTCAATACTAAGAATGAGCATCTTATATTATTAGGTCATTAAATACGAAATGTCTGATTTCATATCAAAAGTGTAGTTTATTATATGTCACACAAGAAGCAGTACAATTAATCAAAGTGTGCACCTAAACTATCGACACAGATTTGCCATCTTAATGGTAGCTGTTTATGCCAGCAGCAAAAAAGCCTGGGGAGTGAGTGGCGACGAAAGGCATTTTCCACAGCTTGTTGCGAACTGAATATTTTTCCTTGCAAGAAGCGGTCCAAAGCCTGGGAGAAGTTGTAGTCAGTTGGTGCAAGGTCTGGTAAATTCAGTGGATGATAAAGTTTCCAAGTTCAGCTGCTGTAGTGTGAGGAGCATTGTTTGTGCGACATGTGGTTGAGCACTGTCTTGCAAGAGGATTGCCCTGTCTGTATTGACCGATCTAGGCTACTTAATTGCAAGCATCCTCATCATTTCATCCAACTGGTTGCAGTAAACATCCACTGTAATTCTACCATCCCCAACACCCAAGCTGCAGCCCAGGACCAGTCCGTGGCCTGTTAGGAAATGGGCTGAGTATCACCGCCTGAGCTCCACACCACCTCCCCGCAACCCATGATACCCACCTCCCCACCCTGGATCCGGGAAAAATTGTCTTCCATGAAACTGGTCCCTGGTGCCAAAAAGGTTGGGGACTATTGCTAACTGATTGGCCAGGTTTCATGAAGCTGTAATGGGTAATACCAGCGCTAGACCACCAAACAGGAACCATTAGCTTTTGTTGATGAATATTTGGTTTTGGACAGTGTTTTGGCACTTCATCTTTATACAGCCATTGTACTGAACACTTGCAATTGTCAAAAAGAATCCATTTTTCATCACATGTAACAAGGCGGCTGTGGAAGTGGCTCGTCTTTATGTCATGACAGCAAAGAAAGGCAAGCTTCAGGATGATTTCTCTTCTGAGGCTCATTTAATTCATGCGGTACCCATCTATCCAACTTCTTTATTTTGCTGATTTGTTTCAAATGGTCCAATATTGTTGGAATAGTAATATCAAACCTTGCTGCTAATTCACACGTAGATTGAGATAGATTCGCTTCCACTACTGCTTTCAGTTCATCATTATTCACCTTGGTCTCAGGTCACCCACATGGCTCATTTTCAAGATTAAAATCACCAGAAGAGAACTTCTCAAACCATTAACATACTGTGCGTTCATTAGCCACATCCTTCCCAAACACTTTGTTGATATCTGCGCTGCACTGGTTCCACAATGGAACTCATTATTTGAAAATAACACGAATTTTTTTGACTTACCATTGGTTTCACAAAAATTGCTCTAAAAATGAATCTGAAAGATAATCACAAGCCAAACTGTGCATTTAAAAGACTGAGGATGTACCTTCACAATAAAAATAAAACAAGAAGTGTCAAAATGAAATGTCAGAGATATCAACTGTCAAACTTAGTGCTTAAGGAAATCAGACATTTCATACTTAATAACCTAATACATCAATGAAAAAATAGAATTTGATTAGCCAAACACCTGAAACATGTCCTGAAATATGCTTTCACTTTAATATATAAAACTTTGAATTCTTTTGTTTCTACAATCAACTTAACAACTAATTTGATGATACTCATCCAATCTGCAAATGACAAAGACTCTAGATATTCTTTCTATTCCTTACTTTCATCTCCTTCTCCACATTATTTGATTTGGGCTAATTGAACAATTCTTAACAACTCAAAGGATGTCACGGGGCAAGGCAAAGAAAGTGATTATGTACTTTTGAGTTCTCACAAAATATTTTGATATCAAGTTGATTAGAGGAATAAATTTAAAATTTTGGACATGGCCGGGCGTGGTGGCTCACGCCTGTAATCCTAGCGCTCTGGGAGGCTGACGCTGGAGGATTGCTTGAGCTCAGGAGTTCGAGACCAGCCTGAGCAAGAGCAAGACCCAGTCTCTTCTAAAAATAGAAAGAAATTAGCCAAACAACTAAAAACAGAAAAAAATAGCCAGGCATGGTGGTGTGTGCCTGTAGTCCCAGCTACCCCGGAGGCTGAGGCAGGAGGATTGCTTGAGCCCGGGAGTTTGAGGTTGCTGTGAGCTAGGCTGACACCACAGCACTCTAGCCCAGGTAAAAGAGTGAGACTCTTACCTCAAAAAAAAAAAAATTTGGACAAAAGGTTTTTCTTATATCATCTTCATTCACTTAACTGAACTTAAAACCTAACTCTCCTTAAAGAAACTAATATATCTTTAAACTTTGAAAAATTATACCCCCTTCCCAACAAACACTTTAAATTAAAAACTTACAAAAGCAGCATGCTTTCCTCGAAATCCTCTTGTGCACTGCTGCCTCCATGGCTTCCAAATAATAAAGCCCAAAAGGTACAGAACGAACATAGATGTTTTTGCAAAGGTGCTGAAGAACGGTTTGTTGTACTGAGTAAAAACATACTGTAGAGGAAAAAGTTACATAGACAAGTATGAGATGACCTTAAATCTTATTACTTACCTCCAAAATAAAGCTACTACAGGATTTTTAACTCTTTACAAGTTCACTTGGAAGGGAAAAGTCTGTATCATTTTATACTAAAAGAAACAATGGCTCCTGGAAGTAATGGCCAAATCCAGTTATGGGGAAGGAAATACAATATACAAGATGAGCCTGGGACATCTTGTGCTGGAAAGCAAATAAGATGTTAAAGATTAATGGGGTCAGGCCGGGCCGGTGGCTCACGCCTGTAATCCTAGCTCTCTGGGAGGCCAAGGCAGGTGGATTGTTTGAGCTCAGGAGTTCGAAACCACCCTGAGCAAGAGCGAGACCCCGTCTCTACTAAAAATTAGAAAGAAATGAATCGGACAACTAAAAATATATAGAAAAAATTAGCCGGGCATGGTGGCGCATGCCTGTAGTCCTGGCTACTCGGGAGGCTGAGGCAGGAGGATCGCTTGAGCCCGCCACTGCACTCTAGTTGGGGCAACAGAGCAAGAATTTGTCTCAAAAAAAAAAAAAAAAAAAAAAAAAGATTAATGGGGTCACAGTGAAGGACCCTAGAGCCCATTTGAAGGGGCTCCCCACTGGTCAAAGATAGAACAGTTTAAGCATTACAAGGAATAACAACTGCAATGGTTTGAAATATATCAAATATATAAAAATCTATGAATTTATTATGATATTCAAAAATGTTCTCTCAATGTTTACTACCAGAAGTTGCTAGGCAACTCTATTCTAAAATAAATAAAGGAAAAAAACCCAAATTTTAGCCAACCTTTACATGAACCGTGCTCTAAAATAAATAAAGGAAAAAAATCCAAATTTTAGCCAACCTTTACATGAACCATGCTTTAGGATGACCAAACAGTAGTTGTAGAAAAGTTCTCCTTAAAGAATTTCAACTAATAAACACAGAAGGAATGACCCTTAGGAAAATCACCATTTTTTAACCCCTAATGAAATACTCTTTCTGGGCAGTAATCATATAGATATTCAACATTATCTAAAGGTTGATAAGGAACTTTATAATGCTTAAATTGGCTTCACCCAAAGTGAGACTTGCAGCTAGTACGTGCCTCATATTTGGATGACATAGAAAGTACTCAGTACTACCAAGGTATTCTTTCCTGAAAACTAAACCTAAATCAAGACTTTACACTAAAGTACCATTTACAAGAAATAAGAGAGAAAGAAGAACAAGTTAAATGGTATCTCAAGGAAGCCATCAGGTAAATCCAGAATGTGTGACCAAGTTTCTCCAACAAATCAATGACATGAAAAAAAAAAAAAGAAGGGATACAGTTAAGGAATAAAAGTGGCTTAAAAGATATAACAAACGCAACAGATTCTAACAAATCTTAAAAAAAAACAGATGTCCTTGACACACCTGGGGAAATTTGAACACAGACTGGATATCCAATGATCTTAGGGAATTACAGTTAATTTTGTTAGATATATTAATGGCATAAGGATTATGTTTAAAAAATTAAAAGTCGTTTTCAGTTTAAAGTGAATAGGAAAGAAATTATGAGTGAAATGACATGTGACTAGAATTAGCTTTAAAATACTCCAGGAAAAAAAAGTTTGGGGGAGGGGTTGATAGGATCAGCAAAATTTGATAATTGTTAAAGGTAAGTAACAGATACATGGAAATTCATTACACCATTCTCTCCACTTTGTATATGTTAGAAAATTTCCCTAATAAAAAGATTGATTTTCTTTTTGTTATACATAATACACCAAAAGTCTGATGAGCATATCTGGCTGAAGAACCAGACTCATTATATATGCTCTTGGATAACGAAATTATAAAATATCCTCTTATTAAAGATTTTACTTTTTTTTTTCTTTTTGAGACAGAGTCTTGCTCTGTCACCTGGGTTAGAGTGCCGTGGCATCAGCCTAGTTCACAGCAACCTCAAACTCCTGGGCTCAAGCAGTCCTCCTGCCTCAGCCTCCCGAATAGCTGGGATTGCAAATGCATATCACCACCACGCCGGGCTAATTAAAATATTTTACTTTTTAAAAAATAAAGACAAGTTGGGTTTTTTCCCCAGCTTTATTGAAGTATTATTGACAAAAACTGAATATATTTACCATGTACAACATGGTGATTAATATATGTATACATTGTGAAATGATTACCATGAATGACAAGTTGGTTTTTCTTTTTACCTTGCTTAGATATGGATTGCTAAATTATAACATAATCAGGTGCTCTTTTATCCTAAATCTCATTTTTTTGTCTTTAATTTTTATTTTCATCAATGTAATACATTCACACAGTTTGAGAAATCAAATAATACTATATGACTTACAATGAAAAACCCTTGGTACCTTGTCCTGTCCTTCCCCACCCTCCTGTCTCCCACCCCAGCTTTCACTCTTTCAATATTTCCTTGAGTATTTGCCTTCATATTTCTAAATGATATCCTTAAAATGCTATTTCTTTTATTCATAAATTTAAGCATTATCTATAAATTTTCTATCTAATATGGAAGATGAGAATTTTAAAACTTATTTTTAATTGACAAATAAAATTGTATGTGTGTATATATGTATACGATGAACAACCTGTAGTTTTGAAATATGAGTACATTGGGGAACAGCTAATGTCCTAAATTTTATTACCTGATAAATAAAAAACAAACTATTTCTTTAAAACTAAAATAAGGCCAGGTGTGGTGGCTCACGCCTGTAATCCTAGCACTCTGAGAGGCCAAGGCTGGAAGATCACTTGAGCTCAGGAGCTCAACACCAGCCTAAGCAAGAGTAAGACCCCATCTCTACTAAAAATAGAAAAATTAGCCTGGCATGGTGGCACGCACCTGTAGTTGCAGTTACTTGGGAGGCTGAGGCAGGAGGATTGCTTGAGCCCAGGAGTTTGAGGTTGCAGTGAGCTATGATGATGCCACTGCACTCTAGTTGGGGCAACAGAGCAAGAATTTGTCTCAAAAAAAAAAAAAAAAAAAAAACTAAAATAAAATTTAAAATACGGGTTTAGTTCCCTGTCAACATCAAAGAGATTTCTTTGAGGTAAAACTATAAAATGTTAATCTAAAAGAATATACAGAAGAATTTAATAAATGGCCTATTGTATTCCAGAGCCTAATTCTGGAAAGGATAAAAAATTATTTATTCATAGGATACAATGTCAATGTCAACTATTTACTTAGCTATGATGTGAGAAGACCTGCAGTATCAAACTACTTCTTTGACATTTAAATTCATTTTATAAATGTTAGTTTCCTTCTGTACATTTGCTTTAAGATTACAACACGTAAGCTGAAAGGCAGTCATTTCTGTCTTTTAATAGGGATCACTGACCAAACAGAATAAAGTATACAAGTAGAAAGAAAAACTAGCCTGTTAATTCAAAATACCATATTACTATCAATAGGTCATCAACAGACAAAATTTAACTGAAGATAATCATTGCATACCGTGCACTTCATAATAAAGTTTGAGTCAGCAAACATATAAATGTGCCTGTATCCAGACATGCACATCACAGTGACCTGTACATGAAAACTCATTACTTTTACTCATTTGTCTAAATGCACTCTTACTTTCTACTAAATGATGACAGATTGTTTTGCCCATTCTAGATAGTTGTTTCACGACAAAATAATATTTACAGAAAGAAACTGAATTTAGAAAAAAAGCCGAAACACTTTCAAATATTAAGAAAATATGTACATAGTCTAAGTAATCCTCCCTAAAAGATACAAGAAAACTATAAAATGACAACAAAGTGCATCCTTTCAGTTTTAACTTGAAGTGACACTAATTCAAAATCAAAGAAAACATAATTTAACAATATTTAAAATACTGCTTTTAGTAAGCATGAGATAGTAATGGCTAGAGAGACTACAGGTTAACAGTAATACTAGTACTATAGTAGAATATCATTCCTGGACAAGAGGTACATACCGAAGTAAGTTCTGAGGAGGCAACCCATATCACATCAACAAGAAGGAGAATAACAATCCCAAGGGCCATTCGCCTGCGCTGAGTGAAACCACTGTTCTGGGAATTCATTCGGTTCATGATAAATACACACACCATTTGCAGTCTGTTTTTTGGAAAATACAGATCACATTAGAGATGCTTTTTAAAAAGATAACCATATAAAAATGAGAAAAAAAGTATAACAGAAACATCTGACATTTGTTAGCTAATGTTCGGTATGAAAGTTACACAGTATATAAAAGTGTGGAATTTACCTTGTTTTAAAGGCCTTTCTGAGATCTTCAAGAGCAATGCCTGAAAACTTGGCAGATCCCAGTCTAAAAGGAGGTGAAGAACCCAGCACACCTAAAAACAACCACGAAATGATGCTTATGAAAACATCAACAACTGGAGGTAAAATTCATTACATATTTTTTTTTTACTCTTCACCGTCAAACTGAAGGTAAATGAAAGAAAAATACCAGAATGTGTTAAATATAATTGACACCTTTCTCGAGACTTTCATGTTACCCATTGCACACTTCAGATTATACTCAGACCGAGGGACACGATACGGCTGGGGGTGTGGGTAGCAATATTCAACATACGGCATATTTAAGAATAGTTAACTACTGGAAAACAGCTTCTCCGGGTTTCACAAATACAGAACTCCATTCTCCTCTCCCTCCAGAAGAATCCACCCCAGGGATAGTGTCTAGACACGCGCCTGTTTCTAAAAGTGTCTTTTCTGTCCCTGATCTCCTCGAGTGGAATTTTGTTATTCGAGAGGCGGCGATTTGTTGTGGGTCTTGAGGGCACCTTTCCAATCTGCTCACGTGGTAAAGGAAAAGAATCCTCCACTCTCCCCCACCCAACCCTGTCACTACATCCAGTTATTTTAGATCGAAAGAGTGATTCACAAGGAGAGTGAAGAAACAGCTGTTAAAAGGAATCCGCCCCCTTTTTTAGAGGGGAAAAAAGCTTAAGTCAGCGACGCGTCCCCAAGGAGATAAAGCCAAAGCACGGTGCACGGGCAGCTTCTTCCGTTGCCAGGGTCTGCACAGGGCTCCGACGCCCCTGTCAGCCTCCCGCTCACTCCGCCCCTAGAGACCGTCACCGTCTCGGTCCAGGAACTTCGACTGCCACCAAGGGCTGGAGGTGGGGCTGTTGGTGGGCACTCGATCCTGGTCTGGGCTCCGGGTGATTTCGGGGCCCTTCCCTGCCTGCCTACCTGGCCTTCCTGCCCCGCGATGGCGTCGTGGCGGCACCATGAGCGGACCGGGCCAGGCCCCGCAGCCGCCCAGCGCCACGGCCGCGGCCTCGGACTCACAGAGCCATCACGGCGCCTGACATCGCGCCGCGCTGAAAGCCCAGCTCCTGAAGCTGCCGTGCCCCTCAGGGTGAGGCCACCGACACCACCCAACTCCACTCGGCCCAGGGGGGCGGGGAGCGGGCGAAGGGAAGGGACCGCTCAGACAGCGATGGCCGCGGAGGCCCAGAGCTCAGCCCTGGCCCGGGCCACGCCCCCGGCCAGCCTGCCCTGCTGTCCCGCCCCCCGGCCCGTCGGCGGCCGCGCGCGGGTTACGTCATGGCGGTGCGACGGGGTACTGAGCCAGGCAGCGTCTCCGGCATGGTTTGGCCTGGCCGAGCGCACTATCGTGAAACGCTGGGCACGGAGCAAGGAGACACGCGGTAATGCGAAAGAGTAGTGGAGACAGGAAGGAGAGAAGTAGGACGAGGTGGAGGGAGAAGAAAGAAGTGAGCGGGGTGTTTGGGGCAGACGGAAGGACAAGGGGTAGCCAAACCTCCCAGATGGACCGACTAGAATGAAAGCTAGCAGCTCCGTTTCTTACAAAGTTCGGACAGGAAACTTTCGATATTCCTTTCTCGAGGAGAGGACCGAAGGCAAAGTAGTTTGGAGTACTTTTGACTCTTGGAGCATTTTGTAAATAAACTAGATCCCAGGCCGGGCGTGGTGGCCCACGCCTGTAATCCTACCAATCTGAGAGACCGAGGCGAGAGAATCGCTTCAGGTCAGGAGTTCCAGACCAGACTGAGCAAGAGCGAGACCCCGTCTCTACTGAAAAATAGAAAAAAATGAGCCGGGCAACTAAAAATAGAAAAAATTAGCCGGGCGTGGTGGCGTGTGCCTGTAGTCGTAGCTACTCGGGAGACTGAGGCAGGAGGATGGCTTGAGCCCAGGAGTTTGAGGTTGCTGTGAGCTAGGCTGACGCCACGGCACTGTAGCCCGGGCAACAGAGTAAGACTGTCTCAAAAAAAAAAATAAGCTAGATCCCAGCTCTTGGAGTTACAAGCTGTATCCTAGGCAGAGTACTTCACTTCCCTGGCCCTCACCTAAAACGTCTTCAGTTTCCTTATCCAGAAAATGAGAGGATAAGATAGTACCTGCCCCTTCTGATTTTTTGTGTGTATGCCAAGATTACACGAGTTTACAAATGTGAAGGACTTAGATCATTTTATGGCATGTAGTCAGAACTCTAAAAATGTTGTCAATTATAAAACTGTAGGTATTTTCCTTAAATATCTTGAATATTCCATTAGAAAGAGGGCTTGTTATCCTGATTTGTATTTAGAAAATAAAAACGAAACTAAAGGGTTCTGTAATTTTACTGGAATTTTCTACCATAAGTGCATTTTTAGCATCTCAGACGGTGTGAAGAAATTAAATTTTCTTACTCCTGTAGTCACAATGTAGCCCTTACCTTTTAAGTCTTGTTTTGCTGAAACTGAATACATATTCTAATGACTAGTAAAACAATACCAAGGAACATTTTTTAATTGATCAAGTCAGTGTCTAATAAACTATCAGCGTCAAGCACCTCTAATAAATAATTCAGAAATCTATTGCGCAGAGTGGAAAATCTTAATCATCTACTTGGTGTTGCTACTTGGGAGAAATTTGGTTGAGACATTAACCAAATTATTCCATTACCAGTTTATTCTTTTATTAACATTCTTTAGGGTGTCAGGCTCAATATGCTGAAGAATTTTTTATGGTACATATATATAGTCTGAAAAAATAATAGCATTATAAATTAAGATCTAAGAGTCAGCAAATCTGGGTTCTAATTCATACTGACTATAATTTGTCATTTAGTCTTAAGGATTATTCTACTCTCTGCTGTGCCCATATTCTATTAATATAAATACGGGTTTCTCAATTAAAATAATGCAGTGATAGCACTTTGTAAATGTATATAAATGTTAGTTACCATTATTACCACCAGTTTCCAGACCGTCTGCCAAAGGATAATGCTGCAGATATCCTTGTGATGGATAAAGTAATTCTGGGGAGACTGTTTCAAGTAGTTTCAAAACATAGTTTAAATCTTCCATTAGCATTTTTTCCCTGGGCTCTTTGAGGGAAATTCCACTGGACTGCTCTGTAACAATAGAACTTGCTGTGGTTTCTGTGTTGTGGCACCATCCTGACCATCTCAGGCATTCCTTTTGTGTCCCTGTGTATGTATCTTGCCCAAGGCTGAATCTTCAGAACCTTCAAAGTTTTTCTTATCTCAATGTGAATAAGTCTTACAAACATGTATTATCTTTCTCTCCTCATCAAATCTCAACTGTACATTTTCAAATATAAGTTCCACAAGAGCATGGATTTTGGTCTGTTTTGTTCTTCACTATTATTCCCAACATCTATTAATAGAATAGTGCCTAGAACAGAGTTGGCAATCAATATTTGTTGAATGAACTTGAACATCCTGCTTTCTCTCTTGATCTTTTCCTTATACCTAATTCCTTTCCTGAGTTTCCATTTCTGTCAGTTTGTAGCGCTATTTTCTTAGTCTCATAGACTTGATCTTTTAATTTTATTAATTTCCTTTTTACTCTTCAAAGTCGATCATTCTTTTGAAATCTTTCAATAGTAGATCCTTAAGATTCATCAGATACTAAGTCTGATACCGTCAACAGATTCTCCCAAAATGTACTCTAGAAAATATAATTTTCCCAGTAAAGTACATGTGCCACAGTATGGATGTAAAAGCAAAGTTCTGTGTTGTACAGGTATGTCACTAGCTAATTCTCCCAGATACTGGTCTCAAAGACTACATTTCAAATTCAAGCCCTAGTAAAATTACAAATGACAATGTCATAAGTCTTTGTGATCTCTAAATTAGTAATTGAAACCACCTATAATAATAATGTAAATTCCAAGAGTGGAAATAAATGAAGAACACCCACATGAGAACAAGCAAAGATTATTTATTCAAATCTTATTATAGCAAGGCAGTCAGCCCCCATCACCTGTGGTAGAGACTGAACAGCAGGCAGGGGAATGTAAAGTCTTTATAGTGGAAAACAGAAAAGACTTCAGGTATGTGCTGATTTCATGTCGTTGACATGGAGAGAAGCTGGAGGCAGGTTTACTGGAGGCAAGGCATCCTGTGTGGTTGGTTTGGGGTACATATTTGGCTTTCTTTGATCTTAAGTTGGAAATAGGATAAAAACTAAACAGTTTATTGACCAAGTCCTGACCATTTGGGGTTGATTGCTGCAGGGATTGTGGTTACCTTTCTGGACTAGTTGCTGCAGAGGTTGTAGATCAGAGTTCTGGGTTTTTTTTTGTTTGTTTCAGCATATCATGGGGGTACAGATGTTTATGTTACGTATGTTGCCCTTGCCCCCCCCAAGTCCGAGTTTCAAATACGTCCATTCTTCGGGTGGTGCGCATTGCACTCTTTGTGTATGCATATACCCGTCCCCTCCTCCCTCCTCCTCCCCCCCTCCCCCCAGAGTTCTGTTTTTATATATGCTTTGGCCATTGTCCATTAGTATATTCAGACTCTCACAAGAGTCTACTGTATATCATATTCTCTGCAGCACTTACCAGAATGCTGGGCGCACGGTCAACTTGATAAATATTTGTTGATTTGATTTGCTTCTAAGGTGTGGTTAAATGGATTGAAGCTCACAATTTTAAAAAATTATTGTATATAAGAGACCTCTTTTGAATTTGAACCTTGCTACATTTTATGTGATAAATCATATTCTATAGTGGAAGTCACAAACTTTGGGAGCTTCTGAGATATCTAAGGTATTAAGGGTTGTTGTGTATAATCAAGTCCTAGATTTCAAGGGGTTTACTGGCAAGTTACAGAGGTAGGATATTTGCAGAAATTTGAATAAAAGTTCCACACATCCATAGAATAGGCTTTCCCTAGGCAGTGTTTGATGGTCACTCATTGCCATGTCTTTGAGGGCATGGACCAAAGTGTGAGGGAATGATCTCTTCAGGTAGATACTGACAAAGAAGACTTTTTAAAAGAGGTGGAATCTGAGCTTGATTTTAGTGATGGGTAGGATTTCGATAAGGGAGGGGAATTTTTTTTCTGAGTGCAAATGTTATGACCAAGAGAAAAAGGTGTGTTCAGAAGCAAGTATAAAACTAGTTTGGCAGAGCATAGCACATACGTAGGGAAGCAGTGGGAAATAGGACAGGTCAGGTGAGTTCTGGCGAGATTAAAGCATGCTTTGGAAACTAGGCAAGAGAGTTTGTACTTTTAATTTGTATGTGATGAAATCATAAGGGCTTTTAGTAAATCAGAAATGATCGAGTATGCACTTGGTATCTACCAGTGTGGAGGTATTGTGGGAGTACCACAAAAGGTGTGGGGCCTGCCCTCAAGGAAATCATATTATGGACAAAACTGATTATCTAATCAGGGCAGATATTTGCTAAGCTAGGGATACCAAATATAAATGCACTTCTCTAGTATCCTCTTAGCACTCTCTCTGTCCCATGCCGGACACCAGATTGGTGCTCATTTTGAAAATGACCTCACTTGAGTGTCCCTTCCTTTTTTATTGTTGAAGGCACAATTGGTAGGGAATTTGATGAAAAAGTAAAAGGCTCATCTGGTTGGCTCCTGAGCAATTTAAAATGGCACTGTCCATGCCCACCTTGTGCTTTCAAACAGCTGACTGTGCCCCCTGCCTTTGAGTGGCCCATGCCAGCAGACTAGAGCATGGTAATGAGAAGCTCATTGAGTGCCACACCCACTTCCCAATGTTATCTTGACCTCCTCAGCTTCTAACGGGTTCACTCATCTCCCATGTTTGGCTTGTCCTTTGTTCCTGATAACTGAACACTCACCCAGTACAACCTTGGCTCTTACTTATCATTTGCACCAACACCTGAGCTCCTATCTGCTTTTAGCCACTAAGTGAACAACCCAGCCTGAGTCTCATACTCCCTGGAATACTTCCCCAGCCCATGTGGCCCATGAACATCCTATGTTGCCTTAAGCCCCAAGAGAAAAAATTTGAAAAAAAATAGACCGAGGCCGTAATATGTGTAATAGGTTGTTAGATGGTACTCTTCCTGTTGTTTCCTGCTTTGAGCAGAGGCCCCCAAAGCACAGAACAAACAATAGGGAGCAAAGACAGTCATGGTATAAGGTGAGGTAGTAGACTACGTGGGACTTACAAAGAGAGCGTCGCTAACATGTTTTCCCATCAGCACTCCACTCATATCCAGGCTGTATATGTAGACTAAGAATCCA